TTTCTTCCCTTGATTGTCGCTCCCTATTCTCCAGTTCTTCAAGCTCGTCATCCAACTCTGTCTCGTCGATTTCTGGAGCAACCTCATTCATGATGTTGCCGATTTCGTCCACCTTGGACATCTCTTCACGCAGCTCCTCAACAACATCCTCGACCCTTTCAACGCCGCCAATCTGAGTATGCAGTCCGCGAAGAACACCCGTGCTCGCTTCCATCACTCGGACGTATTCAACCTGGTCCGCGGCATTTTCGATCTTTGAATAGACCTCTTCGAGCTGTGTCAGAGTGTCCAGTCGCTGCTTAAGATTATGCTCGGCGAGCTTCTTGGAGCGTACCGCAGCCAATGCCGAGACACGATTTTTCTTCTGAACAGCGACTTTTGCGGTCAAGTTCAGCTCCTCAATCTTGCTCTCCAGACGGTTGACTTGCTTTGTCATAGTTGACATGAGTGATTTGATAGAGGCAATAGTAGTATCTTGCTCGGTGATCTCGCGTGGCGAGTCGTCCGAGGGTCTGAATCTGATGGTCTGGTTCACCTCAGTATGTGCAATGTGCGCATTCCGGATGTGAACGGATCACAACCTACCTTGCCGTCATACGCGATGGCCCCTATATCACGGGATAGATAAAGTAGCAAGACATCGAAATCAGCGCTTGAAAGCCCACTGTCCTTGTTAAGAACTGTTGCGAAGTCTTCTGTAAAACGTTCTTTGGAGTATACTAGATCCATCTTTGATTGACTGCCACCAAGAGTCTGCTTCACTACCCGATCTGCTGCCTCCTGTAGAATTCGATCAAAGCCTTTTCGACGAAACTGTGAGAGAGCCATACCTTTAGGTTTTCTACCAGCACCAGCTCCTGAACCTGTAATCTAGCTGAAGTCTCTGGCGTGTCGCTCCCAACCACAAAACCTCTCAACTGCTTCATCCCCCATGTCATTACATTCCATGGGCTCAATACCCCAGGATTGATAATTCTCCATTGTCTTTGCTGCAAGCTCAGCGGACTGGCCTTGAAAACCTGCAATGGGGCCATAGTATGCTTCCGAATCGCTTCATCCTGTACGCGAAACAAACACACTCAGCAAGCACAAAACTTCGAAGAGACCGGAAGCTGAGACATACCAACACCGCACCAAGCGCCACCGGCCGACCGTACTCGGGTATTTCCAGAGCTCGTAACAGTGAGTCGTCCGTCCTCAGCATCAGATGGTCGCTTTGGACCGCTGTAGCGGTCGTCGAGGTCGCTTCGCGAGAAGGGGAAGTCGTTACATAGCCCCGCCTTGCGGCCCTTGTCAGGGCTCGCTCCCACGCGGCGACGTTCACTGCATATCCGTCAGGGTTCGTCTTCTTCTGCAAGGCGAAGTCGGAGTAAAGCGACGGCAAGCGGTTTCTGGAACAAAGTAGTCAGCTTCACCTTTTCGGCCAACCTCTGTTTAGAGACGGAGTTGGTAGCAGACTTTTTGAAGGAGTCTTCTTGTGTGAGGATGTAATTCAGGAGGTCACTCATGTTGTTTGAGCTATATCTTCTCCAAGTTGCAGGTTTTCTGAGTTGCTTGTTTTTGATCCTGGTATATACTTCTGTGTTTTGGTTTGCGTATGTGTTGTGCAATATGTGAATTACGACACAATGTCAAATCGCACTGTGGACATACTCGGTCTCACCAACCTAGTAGCTGGCGAGTTGAACTAGACTTGCTGATGTCAACAGACAAACCACCCGCACTTCTATCGTTGCTGAGGAGAGCGCTCTATCGATAAGATAAAGTCACGTGATTATACATTCCTTTTTCTGCTCTACTGTTCTATAGGATGAGATGAATAGATCATTTTTGATTGAATTAAAGCGGTTGCCCAGATTCTATAGCTACCATATGTCATAATATACGCCGTGTGTGGCTCGCTTCACGCATCTTAAGCTCGTTCAAAATCGTCATTCGCTGAAGTTTCATTATCCCCCGTCATCGGCAAAGTAAGACCGCCTGAATCCAGAGGGTTGCCGATCAAAGACTTCCGATTCTGGCGCTTGTCCAGCTTTTCGCTTGTTTCCTCAGGTTCCAGCTGCTCAGTCGCAGATACTTCCTCTCGAGAGTCTAAGCCTCGAGTACCAAGATATTCGACTCTCACCGTATGTCGTAGATTATCAACGAATGATTGCATCTCTGGCATGGGAAATACTCCGTCGCTGTCAAGAACGTCAGCGTACAGGCGTTCCGCTTCCTCAAGGCAAGAAGACGCCAGCGTTGGCTTTCCAGTCCTGAGCCAGAGGTCAGCTGCAAGGACGCTCCACATCCCAGCTTTCCGGCGACGGCCGCCCCATTTCACACCGGTCAGTGGCGGCCTAGAAGCATAGCACGCCGAGATTCTTTCGCTGAAAAGGATCTGACCTATCCCGCCGACTAAGCCTAGGTCCATGGCCCGCATGGCCCATTTAGCAGCGCTTTCAGTTGCAAATCCGCCACGAGACTTCAGCAGTTCCATAGCTAAGCATAAACAACGCAGAGCATTGGGTGCATCAGAGCACCTCGTGAGGTAGGAATAGCAAGCCGTTTCCAACATCTGATCGATGGCTTCGAGTTTGGGTTTTGCTGGCATGGCCATTGGGTTCAGCAGCGTGCTCACTGCGCACATCTCATGAGCACCGGCATGATATCTCCAAGCTTTATCATTGGTATAGTCGGAACGTAGAAGCTCATAGGTGGACGCCGATAGCTTCCAGTCACGAAGCATGAAAGCAAAGTCAGCCATCTTTCGCAAAATCGCTTCAGGCGCGTCCGGTTTGTAGAATCCCCGTGCAAAATCATAGTTCCCACCACCAGAGCCATTAATGCCAGATCGCGAGCCAGAACCGAACCCTGCCCATTTCCGCGACATGGACATGAAACGGCCGCTAATGCCGCGCCTTCGAGATGCCACCTGATCATTCCAAACGGCAACTCTATTTTCCATGTACGGAATGATTGACTGAGCGACTAACTCCCGGACGAAAACCCTGATGGCCATCGCGTCCGAGTCAAAGAGGTATGGGCGATATTCGGTGTCAAGTTCGACAAGCGGCTCTGGTATCGATTAGATATCTGGACTGACGAGAGTACGTGATAAATGACATACCGTTCTGGCTTGCTAGATGCTCCGACGGTGAGAGCCATTCGCACTGAGGGACTGGAGCGCTGTCATCATCCGTCACAACACACTGCATGCTGCGTAGCCTTAGTAGATGACAATGCAACCCAAAATGCCGCTTCATCTGATCATAAAGCTTGGTTGACTCGGCGATGTCATCCCTGTCCTCGTCGTGAACGAGCACATAGTAACGAAGATACTCTGGATGCACCCACTCCGGTAACCTCCGATCTCCATTGCTTGTATCTGCATACAACTGACGAAGAGTTTCTAAGGGAGCCGTATTGCGTGAGCTAATGACAATCACACTGGCTACGGGATGGCGGAAAGTCTCGTGGGGTGCTGCCGACGCCGTTGACAAAAGCTGACGCAGGTAGAACTTGTATAACGGCGAAGTCGCAAGGGAATTCGCGAGGTCTTTCGGGCGCAGAGGAGCGCCCAATAATTCATCTGCCGCATCAAGTTGTCGGTCCAAAACTTCCTCTAGCTGTGCCAGAGAGTTCTGTACAGTGTCGGGGCCTGCGGGAAACTGCTGACGACCTCCGAGATCCACAAAGCGTACTCCGTAATCCTCCCACCCACGACTTGATCCAACGCTATCCCGAATAACGACTTTTCCAGGTATGCTTTCTCCAAATGGCCGGATCAACTCCCAGAAGCCGCCTTTGAAGCCTTTCTCCCGCACCAGATCATCGGTATCCACGGACGCATAAACTCCGACAGTAGGAGAAAAAGATCGTATGATCAGTGATCGGATATCTTCCGTGCCATCAACATGTCCCTCCAATGGTGAGCCCAGAGACGACCTGGTTAGTTGTGGAGTTGACGATCTAAGCGATCGACCGTGGGGTGACGCAGAACGGATCGGAAGCTCCGAGGTAGTAGCGGAGAGAGGAGGCGTCGGTGATAATCCTCTCCTGGCTTCAAGGGGATCTGGATCTAGTGACGCGGAGGAATCACGACGCTGGTCTGGATATCTTGTCTTCGTTGTGACACGCGGCACGCCGGGCGAAAAGGACGGCGGAGGTTTGACCGGAGAAGCATCTCCGGGCGATGTCATGGACATCGAATTGTTTCTAAGTCAGGATAAAGAGAGGTGAAGGAGACTCTAGAGCCCATGGACCGAGAAGTGAGGGCGCAAAGAGTGCGTCGAAGAAGGATAGACTGGAGAACCAAGTAGAACCCCTAAGGTAGATACCTAATGAGAAGTGGATTGGAAGATAAGATGGAATGGCCAAGTCAGTCTGGCAAAAACGGGGTACAACTGAGGAGGGCAGACAAAGGGACTGGAAGGTCTGCTTCTCGTCCAATGGCTGATAATTGCTCGGAATATAAATTCGATAATTCTTATGCAGTGCAGTAAATCAATATGCTCCCGGAGATTTATCTGTCTCATGTAGTCTTCCAAATCCAGTTCACACTACGGGATATTATGGTCGCCATCAAGTTGGAGAAGGCGGTAGTGGTGATTTTCAGTCCAATCGTCACAACACACATCCTGGCGAATGATTCATTCATGACTCCTACGCATTTCTGTTGAGTCATACATTCTGCGCACTCATGGCGGTAGTATAATACTCGTTGCTGGCTTGTGTCGATGTCGAATACCCCAGCTCTGCGCTTCCTGGTTGAACGTCATTGTTTATTGCGCCCATCTCTCTTTTTGCTTCCTACTCCGAGGAGATCGGCAAGCGTACCCCTGCGACATTTGAGGAACTGCGCACCAGCCGCGCATCAAACGTCTTTATCACGAACCTTTGGGCTGAACACTGGCGGTCCTTCTATGCGCCATCGAGAAAGTGCGAGCCTCCCCCCAGGAAGAGCACCCAAGAGAAGACGCATGTCCGCGACTGCCCCGCACGACGGTGCCTCCGAAACAATGGCGACAGTGGCTCAAACTTCCTCCCAGACACCTCAGCCTCTGGCCACAATACAGCTTACACCCCTCGAGAACACGTTAAAAGAACTCCTCCTCGATGTCGCCAAGTACATACGAGAACGAGCAATCGCTGCCGGCGCGAGCGAGGCGGATACCCCACACATGGTGCTTCGATTCACAGGAGGATGGGTGAGGGATAAGCTGCTTGGAGTCGACAGTCATGATATTGATGTAGGAATTAGCTCCATGACTGGTTACCAGTTTGGCATGGCCCTCAAAGATTACCTTGACATTCCTGAAAACTTGCAAAAGTACAAGCGCAACCACCCTAATGGAGAGATGAAGGAGGCTATCGTCAGCCTGCACAAAATTGAAGCAAATCCGGAAAAGTCCAAACACCTGGAAACCGTAACAACCAAGATCTTCGGCTTGGATATCGATCTGGTTAATCTTCGAAAGGAGACGTATACGGATGATACCCGGAACCCGCAGATGGAGTTTGGCACCGCCGAAGAAGATGCTTTACGTCGCGATGCAACGATTAATGCTCTTTTCTACAATTTAAACGAATCCAAGGTGGAAGATTTGACTGGACGGGGGTTTTCAGACATGAGGAACAAGATTATCCGAACTCCATTAGAGCCATACCAGACCTTCAAAGACGACCCTTTACGTGTGCTACGACTGATACGGTTCGCCAGCCGCCTGGGCTATCAAATCGATCCAAACACAGAGAGGGCGATGCAGAACAGTGATATCAGTGCGGCACTAAAAGTGAAGATCAGTAGAGAACGCGTGGGGACAGAGTTGGAGAAGATGCTCAAAGGTCTGCAATATCCAGTTAGGTTTGAAACAGAGCCACATGTTAACTTTGGATAAGGACCCGATCCTCGAGGCGCGTTGCGATTCATTGATCGACTTGGACTCTACCATACTATCTTCGCCAATCACCAAGACGATGTCACCGCTGATACATCCTCGTGGTCGCTAGCCTACAACGCTCTGGTATCCCTGCTGCATCCTGAGGGGCCATCGAGGGCCGCACTCGAGAAGGTGCGCGACTTCCTCATGCGTAATTCACTCGAGTCGTATTATGCCTGGATGATTGCTGCATTAGCACCTTGGTCTAGCGTGCCACCGCGCATAGCACAAGGACCGAAAGCGAAACCCTTCCCCCCTCGAGCGGCAGAGGTGGCAAGAGACAGTCTGCGTTCCGATAATAAGATGATCAGCGTTCTCGGTGATGCTGCTGCCAGTTGGAGGTCCATTATTGATGTCAAGTCTTCGCTCCTGGAGGGCCGCATGAACGGAACAGCTCCCGAAGTACGGCAACAAATCGGCTTGTACATCAAGAGCTGGAAGAAGGATTGGCGACTCTGCATACTATTGGCTATTCTGCAGGAGATCATGAGAGGACAAGAGTTCCTGCCAGGTGAGAAACAGACGCAAATGACCCCTGATACTTTGGTTGAATTTGAGGCACTGACTTGTGCTCGGCTGGCAGTGATCCAAGAATATGACAGATTTATATCGTACATTATTCAGAACGATTTGCAAGGCGTGTGTGAAATGAAGCCTATCGTGAATGGGGGGGAAATTATGAAGGCTCTAGAGGCAAAGAATGGGCCTTGGATGAGCAAAGCATTGGATATGGTGTTTAAGTGGCAGCTTCTACACCCCGAAATTACGGAGAAGGAAAAGGCCCTGAAATATTTGATAGATAGAAAGGATGAGTTAGGTCTGTAGTTGTTGCTGAGCCCCATAGAAAAGACAAGCTGAAGACAGCATTATTATTGCTCCCAAGAACCATGACATGGACACTTTTTCCCTTCCGCAAATTTCTCGCTTACTGATTGTAATCGCTATCCGACTGGCCACCTCCTCCAGCTATGAGAAGAAAATAATCCCTTCCCACAACTCATAATCTTTCTTTCTAAACAAGCTGAGGATTACTAGAATCTGTGTACCACCGTGATTTGAGCTTACTGAGATGGAAGACCTCCGCATAGCGGCACGTGAGACCCTCCAGCGACGATACTCTAGTATAATCTCAGAGGCACGTTTAGACAGCATAACCGTCCCTGAAGACCTAGACCTGTTATGGGACAATGTATCATCTTATCAAGCCAAGAACACAGCAACAGTGAGAAGAGTTCCCTGGAATTCCCGGCTGTTCAAGCACTGATGACGTCGAAGTAGACCTGCGAGAATCTTCTTGTCGCCCAAGTATTTTTGACACGCCGGCGCTCGAAGAGCTTATCGGAAAGTGAGGAAAATGCTGTCAATAATCTATATCGGTGGGCCAGTGAGCTTGCACTTCCATCTGCAGTCTTTGCGACCACAGAGGTAGGATCCTCTGATGGTGAGTCGCAGAGTTTCCCCTCAGTCAATGATGCGGGTTGCTGACGCTGCGAGGCTGTAGTCGACAAGTCTGAAACAATCCGCGAGAATAAGCTCCAGCTGGAACTTGCTGTCTCTGTCCTTGTTGCGCTGGATTCTCAGCTGCAGATTCGGAAATCGGCGCACGCGGTGGATGTAATCACTGCGCTGGCGAGTTTCACGTCTGAGCAAGATTCCTGGACGACGCGGGACACATATATGAAGTCGAGGAAAATCCTAGAGAGCTTTATCACGAGTGCACATGTCGAAGCAGATAGCTCCTTCTGGTCTCTCGTTGAAAGGATCCTCAAAGAGAGAATCAAGCCGGTATTCGCGAAGACAAAAAATCCTGCACTTACTGCCGAGGGCAGAAAGAACTTTCATCCTGTTCCTCTACCGCGATTTGATGCCAGCATCATCGATCCGGCGACGAAGCCGTGGAAAATCAGTGATGTCTACGTTACTACAGTGCTAGCCTGGGTGATCGCGCAGTACCAGGTATGCTTCATCATCCCCAGCTCTAGGTCGTATTGCTGACTTAAGATACAGGCAAAGGGTAGACCCTATTTAGAAGCACACTTTCCACTACTCGTCCCACCAATTCTCGCCCTGATAGACGACGACAGCGTCGCCTACAAAACACGCGGCTGCATTCTCTTGACCCAACTCCTCAAACCAATTTGGGAAAGCAGATCTGACATCCTCCAGAGGACGAACCTGGCGTCTGTCTTCGAGGACGCCGTCAGACCATGTCTCCTCTCTTTACCATCGATCACACCCGAAGATGATTCCATCAAATTGCTTGGGGTGGCCTACCCAGCTCTGCTCTCCCTCTTACAGACAAGCTACCACACCACCACCCCAAGGTCAGCCGCAAACGCAAACAGAGACAAATATATCTCCAGCGTGACAAGGACTCTCCGAGAGAATCTCATCTCCTCATTCCACCACATCAGCTCAACAAACAGGACCTCAACCTCCTCGTTCGCCTCGTTCCCATACCCGCGTCTCTCGACACTGCTCGTCGACCAGATGTACCCGCTACTCCTGGAGCTAGGCATCCACACGACAAAGTACCTTCAGGAGATCGTCCCTCTGCTGTACAGTACGTTGTCAAACCCTTTCGGAACAGCATACCCGCCTCTTCTCCTTTCCGCGGTCGCCGTAACCCGCGCGGTGATTCTGAACGCCCATCCGCGACTGTGGCGATGGCGCGGTGAGATCCTCGGCGCGCTCTGCTCGTGTTGGCTGCGCGCAGTTGAGGAAGAAGGCGAAATTGCCGAGCGGGCTGTCAAGGGGCGGAGTGCGGCCGATGACCAGGAAACTAATACCGCGCTGACCAAGCTCAAGAAGGAACTGCGGGGGGCAGTGTACCTGTTGAGGTTTGCGCTGGAAAATCCAGCGCAGGCGGACGGAGATGCTGGCCAGCTGGAAGCGAAGGCTGCTATTCGGAAGGAATTGCAGGAACTAGCTGACGCTGATGAGTCTCTTGCGGACTTGCTTCTTGCGGATATTGATCCTAATGATGCGGACTTTTTCGGGATAGATCCGTGACTGTCTAATTTACATCGCTCTTGATGGCAATAATGCCATGGTGGACACACATGAGTAATATGCTTCGCTAGTTCCGTAAAGTGAGCTCTGCTCAAGTTTAGACATATGAACAATAGGCTGGGTATCATTAAAGACATAATTCATCATAGAGCTGAGAAAAGTAATCGTGATTATATATCAACCCGTTGCTTGAAAAGACTCTTCCCCCGCAGCCACTGTCGGTATCGCTTATAGCGTTTCTTCTCATAGTCCTCTGCGACGACCGTAAGTCCTTCCTCCGACACGGTAAGGAACTCCGCATAATCCGCTAGATTCTCCTCCGCGTTAGCTTCGAGTGTGACCTCTTCAACGTTGCATGTGTTGGCGTATTCCAGAAGGTCCAAGTTCGACTCATGCTGGGCAGAAGCAGCGGTGATCTCATCTTCCGATGTCACAACTAGAGGAACGTTTAGCGGGTGGTTGATGTACCGCTCGTACTCTTCGGCCTCTGCGGCAGTGACGGACGGATTAAGCGAGTCGGTCACTAGCTGGCCGAGTGTCCATTGAGCAATTTGTGCTTTGCTGGGTGTAGCTGGATCCGTGGATGTCTGCATGGACGGTATTCGGCTACTTGACAGAGAGAGTTCATATATGGAGTCTTTAGTATACTTTGCGGAAGGTTGCGCCGAGTCGGGCTGTTGCAACCATTTCGGCGTGGGGTTGGCGTTCGGTGGCGCGCTGTGCATGGGTGGGCGCGTCGCATGCACAATGACGCTACTGCCTGGCTCCTGTATTCTCACGCTTCGTTGCGGATGCCTCTCACGATTGTGTTGGTCATGAGCAATTCGCACATCGAACGGGCTGAAGGGGTGCGGAACGTAGTGAAAAGTTGACTTCATTTTGAACGAGAAGATCTTCGGAAGAGTCGAGACAGCCAAAGGTCTGTAGTACTCTAGCCAATAATCATCAAATCGCGACAGAGGCTCCTTCGGGCGCGAAGGAGGGGGTGGCAGTTCGCGCGCTTTCAGATTCTCAGGAGTATACCAGTGGATATAATTAGGTCGTCTTTTTTCCGCCCAAGATTTGGAACTGGCATGATGCAAGTAGTAGTCGGTGGACAGATCCCACAGCATCGGTTGACCTTGAGTAAAAATATAGTTACCAAGGAACAAGTTGTAAGCTTCCTGGCGCTGCGCATCAAGGAACGAATTGTTGTAGTATCTCTTGAAACTCTCCACCATGTCTCGAGAATGGCTGGTCCACTGATTGATCTTGCGGTATGTAGCCATGGTATTGACCAGATGCGAACCGCCGTACTGAATCGCAATTGTGTCACCGTGGTCATGCCACATAGTGGAAAAGAGGTTGACAGCGTCACAGTCGTACTCCAAAGTGGTGCCATCAATGAACCCGAGAGCATGAAGCTGATAACCAAGGGCTCGTTTTGCGATCACGAACTGGGCAGCATTTGTACGATCAAGACAATCAATGCAATTCGTCCGAGCAATCCCATTCTGGAGTTGTAAGCCAGATTCTGCGTCATAACCATTCTTGAAGAAACCAGTCTTCGGGATGATCTCGCCTGCGATCTCTTCCAGTGTCCCTACCACATCCTGGTCGCGACTTTTAGCAGCGCGGCTCATGTCCCATGGTTTGTAGATGATCTTTTTATCTTCAGGAAGAAACTGGTTCAAGTAGTTGATGGCGTTTGTATACTCTTTCAGAAGCTTTGACTCGCGTGGAGTACGCTCCCTGGACTTGATCAGATTCAAAGCGTAGATCGGCGCACCATATCTCTCAAACAAATTGTCAAAATGGAGGGCGGCAGCTGAGTAGAACGGATCAACAAGATTCAGCTCAATATCAGGTTTGGGCGATACTCCTGAGTTCTCCTGCGTCCAGTAAAGAGGGATACTACCCCGATGCTGGACATATGAGGTGTACAGAGGATTGGCGTAGAGAGCAGGGCCGGGAGCATGGAATGAAGTCTCGGACATTTCAGAAACGATCTGCTCCGTCTCGACGTCGTTAGCAACGTATCCCAGATCGTTAGCACCCCGTTTCAGGAAGCGAGCCCCAGCGAAGAACCGAGATCGGCGAGCAATAATAGTCAAGTAGGCCAGCCGCCCATATACATCAATCTTGGCCTGATCGACATAACCATGAATGATAGGGAGGCACCATTGATAAGGATTCTTCAGTGCTGCGATTGCGGGACTGAGCAGGTGATGGTTCCATATGAACATCGTATTGTAATCTTGACTGAAGCCTTTCGAGTACCCGTCTTGATGAAGTTTGCGTTCACGGCAAATGTTGTGTTGCAAGGTGCGCGTGATGTCGTATGAGTAGCTGAAGTAGAACGACCGACTCAGGTCAAGATTATTAAGTATTGTAATATATCGCGCCTCTTCGGGGTACTTCTCGGGCTTCAGCTTGGAGGAGCTCGAGGTTGTCAACGAAATCAGTTCCGTCCCATCGATCTTGTAGATATAGTGGCCGCCCACCATAGCAACCTGTGACCTCTTCGTCACCAGGAGCATGTAATATGCGCCCGTGAAGCGAATAAAGCCAAGCAAGGCCCATGCACTGCATCTGAGCTTCAGCCCGCCAGAGATCTTATTACCGTCGTCAATCGCGTCCAGCAACTGGCTCATCTCCCTCTTTGTGTACACAATGTCGTCCTCGACGATAACTAAATCATTTGTGTCTGATGTACGGTCGATTTTCAAAATGCGAAACCGCGTGTCTGACAGATCCATGCCCACCATGTAGAATCGAGTCGCCGTCTCATACAACGAGATCTTGTGCATGCGATTGATGCTCTCTTCGCCGAG